CATAATTATAGAAATTTCATTCTATTTCGACTTAATTTTGCGGCCACCTATCGGCAGTTAATGCCTAAGCAGGTTAAAAGAAACGAGTGCTATTATAACCAGTCTCATTTACTCTCATTTCAAAAATTCGGTTTATGTTTTGTTCAACGACTTACAATAATCGCCCGTCTTCTCCTACTAGGAAATGACAATGGCGTTATACTTTTTTTCTAACAAACAATGGCTAGACATATTTATTGACAAAAGGTTCGAAAATATGTAAAATTGGCTTAGAGAAGAGATATAAAAGAAATATACAAAACGGCTTTCAGTGTATGGTACGGATCGTGAATACCCCTTACTCTATAAATTCTTGCGTTGAACCAAAAATAATGGAGAATAGATTGCGCCAACTCTCTCTCATTCATCTAAAAACTACGTCACAATATGAAAATCCATACACGCTTACCATACACACATACAAATTACCAGACTTCTTTGCGTTCTTTTGTTAATGTAACTCGTAAATGTAAGGACAGCACAGCTGTTGGTCAAAATTTATAGAAGTGAATAATGGCAGAGCACGAAGAGTTGTTTTACGTTCTTTGTAAACGTAATCGAGGATGATACAATTTCTTGTCTTAAATGACTTTTGTTGTTGACTTAAAACGTGTTCACACACTACCACAAATTCAAGTTAAATGTTTCCATGAAATAAAAATCAATCAATTTTTTTTTAACAGTAACATTTAACCGTTTTTTAATGTTCATGCATTGAATATATTATAAATGAAGTGTCTCAAATTGTACCAAAAGTACCAAAACTGGAGGCTTTAGGCCTTAATCAAATAAATATGTTTTTAAGTAATTTTTATTATATTATTGCTATTTGCTATCTATTTTGGAATTTAACTTTTAATTCTCAACTACAAGGCTGTATCGCATCGATAAATTTCACGTTGATCGAAAAATTTCTATCGTTTCGCTTCAAACATTGTGAAATATTAACCCCAAAGCAGTTGTCTAAATAAATTTCTTTTCATTTTTACCCGAAACGATGTTTCAACGTTAGCGATCTCATTTCTCTTTGATAAAATGGCGACGAAACGGAGCTATTTCATTTCGTTGAGTTAATTTTACTTGTTAGCGAAACGGAATGATGCCGTTTTAATTGTTGAACATCTCTGGTCAAAAGTGAACGTGATATCTACACTCGAGGATATATCGATAACTGATCATTTTCGCCCTGCAAGTGGATAAACGCTGTTTTTTGCTGGAAAAATCAAATATACATGCATCATATATAGTTTAGAAAAAACATTCTCTAACTTTTTGACCATTTAGTGTGCACATATCTCCAACTATATGTAACGGGTGATCCATTTCGAGGTACTCCACTTTTTTAAACAAATAAGAACAGAAAATTCAAATTGAATTGGGAATATTTATTATCATACGAAAGAGCTTTCTTTGAAATTTATTTTTTGAATATCAACTCTTTCAGTGCAATTTTCGATGACTCATTCGAGCATTTCGACTGGTAACTGACGAATGACACGCGTGTTGTTTTGTTCCAAAGCCTGAATAACGGGATTGTATCATAGAATTAAGACTCTTAGAAGTCTAACGGTATGACATCAGACAATCTTGGAGGCCAATCGATTAGCCAAAAACGTGAAATTAGTGCTCTCAATAAATTCATTCATTGATGCAATGTGTGAGAAGCGGCGCCGTCGTGTTAATGGTGGGTCAACATTAACAGTTACGTTTTCACCGGCATCATTTTTGAAGAAATATGTACCTCTTCGTCACAATTGTTGCAATTTTGCTTGTTTTACATATCCAATGAACCAGAAATGGCCCTCATTGCTGACCAAAATTTGGCTCAAAAGCACCGGAGCTTGGGACTAAAGCCAGCCAAGCAATGTCGCTTGAGAAGGTCGAGCGACTTCAGTTCTTGCACAAGCTGTATTTTGTACGCTTTGAATTTATAATCTCAATGTACACGGCGCCGAATCGACAAGATCAAGCGTGAGTCTCCCCATGATGAAATGCCAAACACTGCTTGTAAAAAGTAACTCTACTTGGATCACCCTTTATATGCAAGAAAATACATACATACATATATGAATACATGTATCCACCAACGAATGAGCGTTTTTTATGTACTTACATATGTGTGTATATATATTTCAGTACGGCCAGACAAAACTCAAAATGAGATCGAAACCAAAAAAAAGCAAAAAAAAAAAAAGAAAACGAAGCCAAAGAATACTCGCCAAGTACAGTCTGCAATGCTATAAAAACATTAATATAACAGATAATTCTGACTTCCACTAATTTAACCAACAATCTTTTGTTAAATGTCCAATTTTTTTATATTAAATTATCCAATGTGAAAAAATTAGTTTATTAAAACACTTTATATTATCCAAACGTGCATACATTTTGTTTTAAATCCAATCGGGTTAAGTACTATGTGCATACATATGTATGTATATATGCATGTATGTCGGTATCCACTCTTTGTCTCATATGAAAATTATGAAAATGTCACTGCTGCCAATAATGCATTGCGAATTTCCTTGCTAATTTGTCGCATTCCCAGCGACGACTGATATCGCGACGCTGACGAACCTAACCGCAGCAGTGTATATTTTAAATTAAGTGCGGAAATCTGAAATAATCAGGCAAAACAGATACTTTATTTTGTATTTCTACTATTTTACAAACAACCAATGTTGTTCTCAACAATCAGACTCATGCAAGATATGTCAACAACAACAATAACAAGTGCAAACATTCATAAGGCCACAGCTGCGTGAGAATTTTTTATGACAAATATAATAGCGGCGGCGGTGGTGGCTGGTAATGGCTGGCAGCATAGCCAACGCCATTTGAACAACGACGCCAACGAACGGCCATTATGTGAATTGTATATGGCGCATACACGCGAGTCACCTCGGCTATCTTCACTCACATCATCTCTCTCATGGCTGGTTCTCTTAATTCCATTTGGTATATGTAAAAATACACTCTAGCAAGAAGGGGCGCTGAAAGAGTATTCAAAGTACGAGAGCATACTCAAAACAGGAAAATAAATACATAAAGTGTAAGTGGGAAAGTATGAGAGGACCTGAAATAGACGAGTGTGAGCAGTGCGACGAAAACATGTTTGTTTTTTATATATGGAAAATTTGTTTTTTTTTGTTTTCTATTTTAAAGAGTGAAGAGCAGGAATTGTTGGGGAAACATGATAAAGAGGGGAATGGAATGACGCATTCTCACGCGTATGCCATATAATATAGAAAAAAAAACTCTTGAGAAATATTATATATGTTTTGCCGCAACTTTGTATTACATGAGCAAAAACAGTGGTGTACCAGAAAAGGAATTGAAATATTCACCAACACCTCAACTTCTTCGGTGGTAGCTGAAAGTGTACAAAAATTTTCTGTTTACTGCTCTTGCAAGAAATTTGACCCTTTTTACACGAGTTTGGTTTAACACGAGATAGAAAGACTCAAAATCTGCTTATACATGAAATATTTTGCTTTAATACATGTTTTAAAATCAAGAATTTTTTTTGAATTAATCAATTTCAGATTTTATGCATTTCTTTTTCTAAAGATTTTTTTTTCACATATGTTTTATCTATCCTATGTATCTTGGTGGCCGCGGAAGCCGAGTGGTTAGCATTGCGTACTGATACTCGGAAGGCTTGGGATCAAATTCAGGTGCCAACAACAACAAGACCCAAAAAAAGTTTTGGAAAATTAATTTAAAAAAATAAATTAAATTAAATTTTTCAAATTGCAGTCGCCCCTCGGTAGAGAATGACTACCTCTCCGAGTGTATTTCGGACATGAAATAAAAGCTCCTCATAAAAAGCCATCAGCGTTCGGAGGCGGTCTAGTATAAACTGTAGGTCCCTCTATTTATTGGAAAAGCATCAAGCGCCAAATATATATGTATATACATATATATGTATCGTGTGAAATGAGAGTTAGTGTACTTGGGTTATCAAAAAATCTTGTATATTTGAAGGTCTGTTTTCAAAACAGACCTTCACTCAATATTTTTTATAATTTCGATACTAATGAGCAGTAATCAGAACTATTGGATATTAAGTTTTTAATTAGAAGCCTCCAATCCACATAGGCTTTCCTGGAGTTCAATATGTTTTTTTAACATTTTCTTTGCACCTTTTTAACTTCTTTTTTTTTTGCGTATCGTTCAAAAGCTAGAAAATTTCATACAGACGCTTGAACAGCTAACCAATTATTGAGTATATCTGCTTGGAGCTCGGGTATCTAGAGTTCAAGAACAATGGCATCTTGGGGATTGAAACTACGAAATAAAGCTATGAACGCATAATTGATCCCCTTACTGCACGCCTTATACGATGTGAACTCAGCTATTTAGCACAAAGTATGAAGAAGAAAGCAAGCATTCTATTTCTGGCACGAGTGCAAATGAAAGGGAACGAATTCAGCATATATAATACCTATAGCGTAGTTATAGGAATCACGAGCGGGCGGATTTGGAAGATATGTACATATTTACAACCATATGTACGTGTATGTAGATATTATGGAAATGAAAGATACTGAATTTTGGCGCGCTCTTCGCCGAATTCATCGTTCAGAGCTTGAAAAACATCTACAACAATAACAATAATATCAATATTGAAAAAAGCAACAAAGTATAAAATGCCAACAATAACAACTTTTTACTATCCAACAAAAATTTAATACAACAAAGCATATAAGCTATTAATGCATATAACAAGCATACGAACGCTTCATGTTTCACATACCCGATGTGAATTTCTATTTACTTGCATTATTCGAGAGCATAAGATATGGAAAGAGTGGCGTTTCAATGCAAGAGTGTCGCATAAAGAGGGAGAGTATCTTTTTTGTTTTTGTAAACAATCTAGATAGAAGAGTAGAAGCATTGACGAACAACGGGCATCGGCGGGCATGGCCACTACTATACCGAATTGAATTCAATAGCCTTTGCAAAGGCAATTGCCATAGCATTCATACATTCGTTCGTTGTTGGTATACGACGCTCTGTGTGTATTATGTTATATTTTCAATATAGCTGAAGCAACGAGCATTGAATTCACTATAGCGCTATAGCAAGCCAGCAAGCACACGGTAAACGGTTGGAATATCAGCTCAGCCCATACACAGTATACAAGATTCTACGGCACAGTAAAAGCAAAGCAAACGGCAGCGCATTTGTTGGAGATTATACAATTCAAACAACAAGCAGCAATTCAGCGCAAAGCTAAAATATAGGCGATTGCCTGCCTGAATAGCAAGCATAGGAAAGCGACAGAAGCAGCAACGCCACACAAGTCAGCTATAGACGACAACGACGACTTTGCAATATAAAAGAATATATAAAATATACAGCGTGACTACGGACCAAGGGGCTACGACGTCGAGATACTCGTGTGAGAAATACGACGACGACGACGCAGCGGAATATACGACTAAAGAGGCGTTTGGATACGGATACAAGTGAAGTGTGTGCAGATAGAAGCAATAGCTATATGGGAGTAATGTAACGGCTGGTTATACGAAACTACCATATACATTTAACACAATACATGCTATAGACCAGGGGCAAAGCTGTATCCATAATATAGAGCCATAGTAACGAGCATTGCTAGTACAGAAGCGGTGCATAGAGCTCTACATTTTGTGCCACAAAGTATAGACGAAACGAACCAAGCGTATAACGAAAACGCTAGGCTGATACATACGTATATACAGCATAAAGAAAATAAAAAAAAAACCGCAATACCAACTGGGTTTCGCGTCGCAATTTGGTATTCGTGTCAGCGTTTGTTTGCGCATTTGTGAGTATTGGATTCAACGAAGAGAAAGGGCAAGAGTGTGTTGTATCTCGAACCATAATTCAAGGGAAGTGGAGTGAAGTAGAAGTGAAGAGGTAACATTGATATATTGGTTTTGTACTACGGGCCGAACGGGTGTGTAAAGTAAAGCTAGTGAACATTGCTTGAATTTCTTTTTTTTATATTATTTGATAGCACAAATTGTCGAGAAAACTGAAAACAGAGACGCATTTTATATGCGTATAAACAAGTAGTAGTTTTGTGTGTGATTGCATTTAGCGAATTGATAAAGTGTTGTTAAGAGAAAAAGCTTGCGAAGTACAGAAGAGGATTGTCGCGCGCGCGAATACCTCCAATTACTTTTGAGGCCCCCCCTTGAAAAATATCTTTAACGACTGTGTTGGCCACATTGTATATGCCCAGCAAGCAAGCAGACGCACAACGAAAGTAGTGTGTGAGAGCCTATATACAAAGGAGTGAGAGGAGAGACATATATTTTTATTCTTCGTGTACTGCCAGCAAGCTAGCAAGCAAGCGGCAGCATTCGAGTACATTGTTGGTATTGTATAATTTTATAATACGTGGAGTGGCGAACGGCGGCACATTGTTGAACAACGCAACGTAAACGCCTAAACAAAGTGTATAGCCATAGCATTTGTGTATAGAGTCGAAAACCTTATAGCAGCAAGCAGCAGCATAGGAAATATAGCGAAGACAACAACTACAGCAAAAGCAGCAGCAGCAACAACAAGAGCAATTATAGTGACGCAGTAAAGCAGCAGCAGCAACAACAATACAACACAAAATTGCAGTATGGAGCATTTTCATCAGATTCAGGTAAATTTTTATTTATTTTGTGCGAGTTTTTGGTGTATGGGTCTTTTATTTTTATTTTTTTTACGTTTTGTTTTGATTTTTATTTGATGTGGTGCGATGATTTTGTTGTCGTCGTCGTCATCGTCATCGTCGACGAAGCCGCTGTCGTTTTGTTGTTTTGCGCATCGCGACGCATTGCCATGTTACAATTTTCATATTTTCTTATTCATTTCTTTTATGACCATATGAATATGGTATGATTTACTTACATGCATATGTTGTTACATTCCTCTTACCGCTTCAAAAGCACACTCCCTCGGTAGTGGAATGTGTACTGCCCACTGTTATCATGTTATCAAATCAACACCTACAATCTTGACGTTAACTGCGGAAGAATCATCATTATCGCGCTTGCAATAACATCATTATTCATCGCGGTCGCAAACGGTGTGCGTACGAGTCGCGCGGCATCTATTGAAATCGAGAATGCAAATCAGAGAAATCGAAAGCGCGCGAGTGAGCAATGTGTATAATCACATATGCGTAGATGTTTGTTATTGATAGATACAATTCGGTGCCGGTAAATGCTCTGTCTCCAGAGAATTAGATTCATACTTACGGATGTACATGCATATATGTATATATGAACTGATAGATATTTGACGTTAACCGCCCCCATTTCATACACTTACAACAATATCTAATAATCCAATAAGATTAGAGTAGAAGCACTTGCAGAAGTAGTGATAAAACAATATTTGAAAAGCATCTCAATCTATTTATAAAGCAATTATATATAATGAGAGGCTCATTTTCCCTTTACTGCTCTCTATCAATTGCATTTCCGTATGTACGATAACCGTTGTCTCAAAATTTTCATATATCAAAAGGTTAACGATACGATTTCACGATTTAATTGCAAAAGGGAAGCAAAATAAAAAATCAATCAATATGACTATGCAAAAAAGCTGTTGGTGGATATTGGATTCAATAAGTGGGTGGGGGGGGGGAGGCATTGTGTTTACATTTCGTCGCGACGGGTATTTACTCACATACATACAATCGACGTCTGTCTGTCTACTTTTCTATGACCACTGCATTTATAACTCTTTAACTGCAACACACCGATCCGACGCGCCAACGTACATATGTGCCGTGACGTCGCAGCAACCGCGATATACGCACCTCGCTGAGTGAATCGCATAAAATTCGCATGTGAAAATTGACAAATGCTTGTACATATTTATGTGCATATATGCAACTGCTTATACATATGTACATATTTTTACGGGCTCTGCGGTCTTCGCTGGCATTTTATTTGACTTTATGACCGTGGTGTTTTTTTTTTTTTTTGTTGTTTATTTGCTGAGTTTTACATTTATTAGAAAATTTAGAAGCTCTAGCTGATTGAATTGACAGGTTTTCGGTTTCGGTTTAGCTGACATTCGCAGCTGATGGTAGTGGTAGGCTTTACGGATTCGCGTAAAGTTCCGCGTGAACGAAAGTTGTATGCCAAACGCACAGTTATACAATCGGTTAATCTTTATTTTGCTTCTTTTCATATGAACTTCAAATCACTTACCATGGAACAAGCCAACGTCATTCATTTCACATACGGCCTCAATTGAATAAGATACAATTTACGTGCATACCTGTATTCATATACATATGTTCATACGTATGTATGTAAATATATTTTCCAAGCTATTGAACTGAATATCAAAGCTAATGAGAAAGGTGTGTTCCGCGCATTCTCGACGACAACAATTAATCCGCATTTTGTTTGTTTTTAAATTTTAGTTGCCTATTTATCAATTTTTTTTTTGTTTGATTTTGCTGTTTTAAGTTTTTTTCATTTTATTTTGTGGTTTTAAGTTTCCTTTTTTAGTTTTCTTATTCTTTTAGTTTTTTTTTTTTTTAAGTTTTTACATTTATTTTGTTCAGTTTATTATGTTTGTAGTTAGTGTGTTCTGTTCTACTTAATTTGGTGATATGTAGTTTGTATAAATTATGAAAAACCTATACAATATTTCCCCACGTAGCAGTGCTCTGACATTCCGGTGTGCAAGAAAATTGTTTTAATATCTTTTATAACTCAACGTTAAGTTCAAATCAAAATCTACGCTAATTGGAGATAATATGGATGGAACAAATGCATTAACAATTATTGTGTATCAGTCGTTGAAAATAATAAACAAATTACTAGTGTTTCTATAAATATTTAAAGAAAGTTAATTTTAACACGTTTTCGCCATGAGATACGTAAATAAAGCTAAAAATAAACTTCAAAATTAAATGTGTGTCTGCAAAACGTGTTACAGATAAAAAAAAAAATAATAATACTAATAAGTGGTTTATTTGAATATTGTGATATGTTACGCGAAGAGAATATAATGTTATTAAAAAGAATTGAAATATAAATTCTATTAATTATTGTGATTTTTTTTTAATTCTCTCATAAAAATGCAATTTCTGTCTACACCAGTAAAAATCGGATGTACCTATTTATTATGTGTATTGTTCTACACTTTGGTGAGATACTAAAATAAATAAATGGAACATTTCTCCAAAAAAAAAAAAAAAAACTAACTTTTTAAAACCGATGTGATTCTCAAAGCGTGCCTTTAGATTCAATAACATGAGCTTTCTTTATTTACACCCGAAAAGTGCAGTTGTAATTCTCATAAAATTTATAATTTCTTTTACCGTAGTGCAAAAAAAATATATAAATAAATATTTTTAAGCGCTAGGCACAAAAACGTACTTGCAAAATAGTTTGTCTGAATGTGCAGTTTATATTTTCATAAATACAAAGCTAAAAATACACTTGCTTTATGCATTTGTAAGAAATATTGTTCTCAACAGAAGGAACTCATGAGAAATACCCATTCAATATTTGACATTCATCTTTCCTCCTAATAAGTGCAATTGCATTTACTTACACACGAAAATAATTAAAAACAAAACAATAATTTTGAGTGGAGCAAGTTTACTAAATTGAGAATAAAAGTTTGCGAACGAATAACGGACTTGCAATATGAAAAGATTTTTTTATATCTAATTAGTATATTTTTCTTTGTGTTAGCGCGTTTTCTTTATGCATACATATGTATGCATGTACATATGACTCATCTCTAGGCATGTTTATAAAAACAAATTATCGCGAATCATTAACGAGACGCGCAAAATGTAATAATAAGTAAAATTATTTAAATTGCGTAACGTTTTGCTTCATCATCGTCCGTATCCGTCCGTTCGCACATCTGCCCATTTGCCCCGATATATAAATAATATTTATGTACTTGTATGCGTTGCACATTTATATTGTTTTGCATGTGTGTGAGCGCAAATGCACTTTCTATTGCATTAATTTCTATATGCAGACACATATGTATGTACGTAGGTACATGATGCATATAATGCCTGTCTATCTACCTTTTTCCCCTCTTTTTCTAACCCACCTACATTTGTAAATACACAGCATTAGTTTAACTAGCTGTACACTCTGCTAATATGTATCATATTATGTGAATTTTGCAAATTTAACATATCAAACACCAACAACAACACAGACGTGTAAACGTGCAATAAGCAAAAATTATTAACAAAACGTACACTTTCGTCGTTTTACCCCTCTTATCCTAATTACAAGTTGCTATATATGTATATATGTAGTTTATATGAATTTTTCCATCCACATAACAAAGTACAGTATAATGCAAAAGCTAAAATGACTGGTACACATCTGTCTACACACATGTATTACATATTTGTGCATATATATATTTATATGAACGCTTGTGTATACTTTGTGCTGCCTGAGACTCGTTTCGTTTCACTTGGCTTTTTTTCACTTTAACCTCCTTTTCTTTCGTTAATCGTTATATGCCTTGGGCTCTCCTCGTTATATGCTATCTCGCTCTATTCGATTAGCATTATGCCACCATTTTATTTTAATGTGCTAATTTCTATATAAACTCTCATTTGGTATATATAAATTTACACTCTCTCGCGTTCTCCTCTCTGGCCTTTGCGCTTATGTACAACTCTCAGCAGTTCTCTTTAATAAGAGCATGTAAGTCTTGAGTCGGAACATGGTGGTGGAAGAATAATGAAAAATTGTATGAGCATGTATGTGTGTGTGTGTGTGTGTGTGTTCATCTCAGAAATAGTGTTGCCGTTATGGCTTTTGCTCATCAAGCATATCCACAAATGTTGCCAATAGGTTGTATTGTGTTTTCAAAATGAAAACAGAGAGACGACTTTTGATTTAGTTTATTGTAAGAAGAAATTTTACGCGCGCATTCACAGCTACGATTTTCTGTGTAAAAATTTTGTAGCCGATGGTAGCTTAAAATTGGCGCGCTTTTTATGCGATAAACAATGAAAAAGCGCGCTTGAGTGTATTATTTTTTCAGTTTATTTTTAGTTATAGAAACGTGCACATTTGGCATTTTTTCTATTTAAAGAGATCAATATATAATTTTACTTTTTTGTAAACTTATATACATATAAATTGGTTTATATTATTTCAGTTCGATATTGAAAAAAAAAAAAATTATAAAATACATTGGAAATAAAAGTAATTGGGAAAGATGGTAATAAAGGAATCTTAAAAATTTTGAAAGCAGTATAAGTACAAAGGCAAAAGGGTACAAGACATGGGAAGAATTTGAACCAGTAATTAAATTAATTAAGAAATTTCTGAAAAACAAGACATTCCCTTATAAATTTGCCATTTCAAGTTGGAATTAAATTTGAAATATCTTTTAATAACTACTTGTTACCAAAAAGAAAATATATATATATATATAAATATATCTAACCGTTTCCACACTCACACACTATAGTTCTAAAAATTCCAATGCTCAGTCAATACTCGCATACCCATTTTTATTTTGAGCTTGCCGCTTAATAACCACGCCAGTAACAAAAATAGCAATTCCACAAATACAACGCTGATTAGTAGAGTGTGAATGAAAATAATCATCACCTCAATATTGCCGGCAAGGCGCGCAAATAGAAATTTATACAATTTTTTTTTTTTATTATTATGAATGCTTTTTTTTCCTTCTTTGTCTTTCTTTTGTATTAACGCGTGTTTCGATGATTTGTGTATACACATGTCGTCAAGTCACATTGGTTGGGTTGGTTAGCATACGCTCTCGACGACTATTCATATCAATTCAGTCATTTTCGATTGCAGCCGACGTCGGCGTCCAAGTGGCTACGTCAAAAAAGTCGGCGTCGCCGTCGTTGTCGAGACAAGATTTTGTTGTACTTTATTTTGTTAAAAAATTGGCGGGAAATGTTTTTTTTTGTTTAAACACATTAAGACTGCAATGATGATAAACCAAGCAAGCAGTCACACAATGTTCAGTCAGTCAGCCGGTTGGACACCGGTATATACATGCATATATATGTACATGTAAATGTATCACCATTGCTTTCGTGGTGATAGCAATTGCAGCCATCACATGTGTTCCCCACTAATCGTCTCCCATTCGCAGATAATGTGTTGTTTAGGTGTTCGCTAAATATTGCTGTTAACGATTTAGCATCATAAAAACAATATAAGTAGTAGTACTCAAGTATTATAATAAATGTTCTGTTCGTCTCTATCTCTTTCTCTCTCTCTCTCTCAATCTCTCCATACATGCAATTTATTGACTGATGGCATGCTTTGTAAATGGCATAAGGCAAGCAAATAGTAAGTTGTTACCATAGAAAGCAACACTGTGGTAGCACTGTATTGTTTTTGGTGTATCTATGTATGTATGCTCGCGGAATGAGGGCAAAGGGGTGGAAATAAAAAACCAAATTATTGTTTCCCTTTCAATATATTCAGTTGCAAAGGCGCATGCATTTTTCAGATCTTTCAATTAATTTTTTTTTTGATCAATGACTTCATCATCAGCAGTATCTTTTTTACTTGTTTTTGTATCCGCAAAAGAATATCCCAAAGTACCTTTTGGAACATGTTGCTTATGGCCAGATAAAAGCAGGCAGTACGGATATTTAGAAAATAAATATAACTCTACCTCTCTTTAATATTGAAGCGTGTACCTGACCGCGGATTTTTCTTGTTTAAATTAACTCTGCATCTTGTATATCATACCATAAACCAATCACGTTCTATTTTTCGCTAATTCCCTATTTCACTTCCAATTATGTGGCGTGATTGTCGATAGCTTTGAGACTAATTGTATAATAATAATGAAACCTCATATTTCTATTAGTGATGAGTTGCTGAATATATTACGAGCCTATCGAGGCTGAAAACCCCCTAGAACCCTCTTATTTCGCAAGCATAAAACACCATCGCATATAAATATGTATATTTGGAAATATGTATACATTTTATGCATTGGTAAGTCGAAGTCTCTTGACAACACTGTAGGAAGAGTCTATACTCTTTAAAGAGCAAAAGTAAGAGAGTGTATTGGAGGGGAAATTTAGTTAAAAGAGCGCAATACACATTAAAGAGTACAAAGTGTAAAGAGATAATAAAATTGGAGAGAAAATTTCTTTCAGAAAGGCAAAGAGTTGAGATACCGTGATATATTTTGGTTAATTTTAATTAAAATTGATCCCCAGCACATGTTTGTACGTACAGTTTATTCCAACCACATGGTCGCCGCAGAAATGATTAACACTTCTGTTTGTGAGGGGACCTTTTGGATTTTTAAACCCTCGAAACTCACACTCATACATAATTCCGAAAACGAATTTTACCCACTAATCGCCGAGGAATAGGAGGCCATTAATCCTAACTAAAAGGTGGCACCCCTAGGTTGGACTCAACACTAATCATTCCAAGACAGAAATAATCCCCTTTACCTGAGGCAGGTCACTAAGGGGCATGGAAGAAATAACATTAGACTGTATCACTCCAGAGTGATGATTGGATGCAAAATACCGACGAGTTAGCAAGGCTACCATATTGTTGATGATATGCAGAGGGTTTGCGGATGAATTTTGGAGATGTAACCTAAACATTCTATATTGAGTACATCACTATAGAAAATCGAAAAATAATTTATGCTGAAATAAGCGTGGTCAACAACTGTACTCCACAATAATTACACTACCCAAACTCCTAAGACTTACATGCGACTCTATAGCATGAGGAGATGTGCGTTGGAAATACGCTTTACTAGTTGTAGAACCACTATAAAATGTCGTAAAACACCTTATAGTATCATAAAATAAACAAGACATTACAAAGTACGATGTTACTCTAATGCAATATGAATGTGAGACTTCGCTACTACAGCAACATAGAATTTATGACTTTTGCAAGAAGAAACGTCAAATATCTGTGGGTGATTCCCAAATGATCAGCGAAGTGACACGGCTAAAGGTGCTTATTGCTCGCAATGGTCCAGTTCAGATGTCTGATCCGTTAGCGTCTTCCTATCACTGTTCCTTTGAGCGAAACTGTTCTTTTTTGCAATGCACCTAGTGCAAAATTTGAATACATTCGACATTTTTCCCCACTTTCTTATACACACCTATTAACTCTTGTGTCTTATGGAATTCCAATGCCCAGAGCTTAGACAGAGAAATGTAATAGAACGTAAACAGATCAAGGGTTGAAATACAACTCGGTTAACAAAAGTATCATATCGTTTTTACTGTTTGAAAACGAAGATTCTCATTTTGGTATTAACGGAATTCTCCTTCGATACTACACATTCATCCCACATCAATTAACTTTATATTTGTATGTATGTACATATATATGATGATTTCGGCAATGTAAAGGCGTCTCAACAATGGCTTTTCTATTATCATGATTATCATCACTTCAAATGCGAGAATTTTGTATATTAATTTACTCATGCAACCAACAGTGAGCTTCCCTTCCTAGCTAAAAAAAAAACACCCTTTATGTATGCGTGATACAGTGAAATTTTAGCTGTCAAGCGAGAAATTGACAGTTGAGCTTGAGACGTTAATACAGAGGTGTTTTATAAATGAATATCACCTTAACTATGAAAATGATGATGTCTTCAGATATTTATGTCTGTATGTGTGAACATAATAATATGTATTTTTTTAAAAATCAAAAATTTCTAAATTGACAATGATTTATAGGCACAATGATAAGAACTCGGTGTATGTACATACATAGATAACACATCTTAAAAAAGTGTAATTATATTCCGTGCCTCAACTTTATTTATGACCAAAGAATTTTTTTTTTTTTGCCTTCACCAAAGCACCGCAGTAGATTTTTGACTTGATGCATTTATTTTGGCTTCTTTTTACTACATTTCTCTTTAATCCATAATATTTGACCACCCTGTGGCACGCGACAGCATTCCGTATGCGGCCATCAGACAAAAGGGATTCTTCGTATGCATTCGTTCTCAATGTGTTGGTCGTATGGATGGATGGTTGGCCGGTCGATTTTGGCTCGTCGTTTGGTGTACGTATTCTATCTTCAAATACAGAATGTATAAGTATTTTGTTGTTGGTGTTATCCTGCACAACTTTTACAAATATAAATACATACATATGTACATATACATGACTATGTATGCCTGATTTGTTTATACCCTTTAAATGTTAAAATAAATTCATACATAAATCAACTGTTTTCTTCGGTGGCTGGATTGGCCAATTGACTAATGCAGTTTTAATAGTAAATTTAAATGGATTTGTGTCATATACATATGTATATGCACATATACATATATACATCGTAGTAATATTTATTTAATTTTCCTATATTTTAATTTTAACTAGACTTGCAGTTGGTTGCTATTTCGTGCATATACGTACATGTACTTATTATTTAATACGAACGTGTATCATGTATAGGGTATATACATACATATGTATGTATGTACAATTAAAATATATATCTTTTCACCGTATATAATTGAGTCACTGCGCGTTTCGTTAGCTGCCTGCCTGCCTGTTTACTGATGGCACGTTGCTTTTGCTGGTGTACCAGCTAAAACGTACATAAAATTTATTCACTTTCCTCTACCTTCCTCTATATATACGTGTATGTATGTGCATATTTAGTACTTTAGGGCAGTGCCTTTTTGTGTGTGAGAATTGAGTTTGCCCATGGAAATTTTCTTGAAAGTTAAAAAAAATAGTGCTCATTACTTTAGTATCAGCTGATTGTCAGATTTCCAGCTGATTGCCCTGCAAACACGTGAATCGTCTGAGTCCGAATTAACCCAACTTTTCACACAACGTCTTGCTGCTTATGCCGCCCTAATGCATTCGTAGATACTTTGGTACATATGTACGCATCTATCAATACACATACATAGTATATCAGCAAACACATGTGTATGCTCAAAGATAGGGTCGGTTGGTCGTTGGTTCATCGTTCGTTCTTTTGCCCGATGTATATACCATTCTACCATACATACATACCTACAGACAAATTTACGTATGATAAGCGCCGTTGCCGTCGCCGTTGTCGTTATTGCTTCGGTATTGTGAAATGAACGAATGAAAGCTGTCGCCTGCTCGGTCGATGTTGAGTAGAGTCACGCTACCATTGCTCTGCAAGTGTGCACATACAAACATATGTGTGTAAGTATGCACAGTTGTATTGTTGTTGTTATTGTTGGTAAAGGGCGACGGGCCGTCGCAGATGATACACATGTATGTACGGGCGCAAAGCAAAAAGGCAACGAGCGAGCAGCAACATCAGCGGATTACTTGCTTTGCCATTACCTTTGCCTTCGCCATTCAATTGTAGTAAGCGGCGCAGGCAAATGTCGTATATTAGTGGCCAAGGGCTAGTGTATAGTAGAGAATAAATGTATAGCATAAAGAAATTCTTGGAACGTAAGTAGGCAGAGCAACGTCGTCGTCGCATTCGCCAACCAAAGTAAAGACAATACACATTCTACACCCTACAAAGCATAAAAATGTGAAGTGATATCAAGGACGTGAAGAAGAGTAGGAGAGTGTTGTTTGCTTTGCGGCAATTGCAGATGTGAATTAAAGCAAATTTTTTTTTTTTTGTAACTGTTTGTTGTATTTGAGGTTGAAAATACTTTTTTCTTTTCCTTTTTTTTTTGGAAGAACAACTGAATAGAAAATATGTAAATACATATTTATGATACTGTGCAGAAGGTTCATACAAAGGTCGTCGGCGGCCGGCGAGTGGCGTTGAATGTCGACATAGTCAAAAAGTACAAAAAAAGGAAACAATAACAAAAAATGGTGACAATAACGTTTGGCAAAACATTTATAACCATTTTTTTTATCGTCTGCTAGCAAAATATCTGCATATGCAACGTGTGCATGCATACATACCTATTTATACATACATACATATATATGTACGTTCATAACATTTTAAATTCAAGTCAACGTGCGCAGAGTTGATTCTTCTTCTCTTTTGCCGTGTCGTCAGTCTTGGCTGTCGTACCTCGCTCGGCTGCTTGCTCACTCGTCAATGTGGTGTAGAGTTTAGGCGAAAAAGATATGTACATATGTAGTATGTCGTCGTCGTCGTCTGTATTTGTGTACAATTTTTCTTTTAGTCATAGCTACTCCTTGCTGCAACGTCTTTTGAAGAAATAAGCATAATTTTTTCATTATTGAATTCCGCAAGCAAAAAGGCAAAGTCAAGGAAGTGTGCCGGTTGAGGCAATAAAACGAATTTGTTTTTGTAGGTATTTTCAAAAAGTTTTGACTGCCAATTTGTATAGAGGTGTCGATTATTGCATACATACATACACACATGTGTATGTATGTATAAATAGGATTTTTTATATGTCAATCCCTTTTATATTTTTAGTAGGTTGACATCAATACACACCGACAATTTGTTTTGTTGTACGTAATAGGCAAACAAATAAGAATGTAATTTTGTCACACGTTTTTGTTGTTACACTTAACCCGATTGGTGGCTGCTACTAGTTTTCCAATGAACAGGTGTCAGCTTTCCATCCATGCATCCATGGTATATAAAGGATTTTTTGTTTTTTTTTTTGCTTGACAAGTTTTCATTCGAAAATCTATTTGTTTTTTTATTGCATATTTTCATATGAGTGCAATATGTTTATATTTTTTCATTTTTCTTTGACTGTTAGCGGTTTACAAAACCCTCAGCTCACAACAGATAACAATCAGTTATTCATGTTTTTGTAGTTCTATTTTTTAAATATATTTTTAATTTTTAATTAAACTTACTTTTTAAGAATGCGAATATAAAGCATAATTAAGGCAAATAGTTTACGAAGCACACCAAAAGCAAATTGGCAAGCACACAAGTTCATGTGAGTGAGTAGCCGAGCAAAAATGCGCAAAAGAACGCGGTAGATAATCAAGAAAAAAGCGCGCAAAACACGTTTTAGAGCGCATCAACACATTGCATAGATTAATGAATGTATGTATGTTCATTTTGAAATAATTCTACGTACAACAACAACACGGTTGTTTTTAAAGCCACATATGTATATACATACATATATATATATGTATATAAGTTTGCAGCCGCCGTGGCGAAGACAAGTCAAAAGGTAATAATAACAACGGCGGTCGATGGGTTGGTGGCTCGCGAGAAACGACGCCGCTTTCACACAACCAAGTTTTACCTACCAACCAACAATACGAGCGACCATGAATGCGAATGCGAATGCGAACACCGACCGCTTCGCTTCATGCTAAATGGCGGTTCGTCGCTAAGGCCGCCGCCTCTTCTTCGCATTGTACATATTATGTATGTAGCTATTATGAGCAATCCTCCTTCTTCTCATACGTACCATACATATGTATGTACATACATATCTGTGATGGATTTTTTCTTGCCTGTTTCTACTACAGCACATACACTTTACTAGCCTCTTCGTGGTTCGTTCACCACCACATTTCACGTCTAAGCCGCGCGCCGCGTGTAATATTTTAGAAAAAATATCTGCTTAATCTTTCTGCAGGAAATTTCAATAACTCTAACTCGAAACTATGAAATATTAAGTGTTATAAAGTACAAATATAGTTTGTAAACAAATTTATATTCGAGGCTGGTGATTCTAATTTACAGATTGCTAAAATAATACGAATAATGTGACTTAAAAAAACAGCGACAAAATTTTTCATTCAGTTATACTATATGTATGTATGTATACGAATGTCCAAGCAATCTTACTAAACACGAATTCATTGAATATTATAGAATGAATGCAGTTCATTAATAAAGTTACAGAAAAATTAAAAAAAAAATATAAACATAGTTGTTAGTAAAAGTGACACATAAAATACGTACACGAAATGAATGGTGAGGCAATAAAAGTATTAAATAAAAAAATTAAATTAAATAAAAAATTAAATTAAATAAAAAATTAAATTAAATAAAAAATTAAATTAAATAAAAAATTAAATTAAATAAAAAAATTAAATTAAATAAAAAAATTAAATCAAATAAAAAAAATAAATTAAATTATATATAAAAAATAAAATTAAATAAAAAAAAATAAATTAAATTAGCAAAAAAAAGTTGAATTAAATTACCAAAAAAATAACAATTTACTTAAAAAATATTGCAAATAAAGAGAAAAAAAATATTTTAACAAAAAATAATAATTAATAAATTTGTGATCCTGTATTGAAAGGGGGAATGCATAAAAATTGGCGCTATTGCTGTGAGCAAATTCACTTTTCGCATTTACATACAAATATCACAATATCCACGGCCGCTAATGTATTGCAAAAAGCGCAAAACGCGCTGACATATTACACAAAGACGCTTAACAAATTAAGCTTGACTTGTAATTTTGACCACTCTCACATGGTGTTTATGAGGGCAAATATATGTACATATAATCAACTAAGTTCCGTGCATTGTTAATATCAACCGACTAGTTCTCGAAAATAATAATAATAAATGAATATTTGCAAGTAAATCTTTACATAAAACCGTGCATATGCCTTGAATTTGGTGCAATAAATTTATAAAAAAAAAAGCAAAAATTAAATTAATTTTGTATATAAAAAATTGTAAATATTACATTAAAAAATTAGGAATGAAATTAAATTATAAAGTGTAAAATTTACATGAAAAAAAAGATGAAAAAATTGTGATTGAGCAGCATCATCCATATAATCTCCACAAAAAGAGTTTTGTGAATTCGCAAAAGTTGTAAAATTTTTTTTTGCGGAAAAGAAAAAAAAACGCGTCACAAACCGAAATCAACCAAAAAGCGCCGCGCATACCAAAATGTCAGAGCACAGTGCGTGGGGTAACCGCCAAGCGACCGCAGCCGAGGCTGCCTTATGGTGGCCCGGAGCGCTCGCGGCGGCCGCGACACAACAACAACAGCAACAACAACAACAAACCATTGATCAGCAAACTCTTCAACACTATCAGCAGCAGTTGGCTGCGCAGCAGCAGCAGCAGGCAGTACAACAACAACAATTACAGCAACAGCAGGCCCATCAAGTGGTCGTGCAACAAAATCAACAGCAAGCACATCAAAATAATGCCAACACCACTTCTGGTGTAGGCGCCCAACAGTTATTTACCTATAAAATGGCCAGTAGCTTCCCAAATCCAGCCACGACCATGGCACAGGTGGTCGCTACCTCAAATGCGGCCGGTTCGACCGGCTATGATTATCGTTTAAATATGGCACAAGCAGCTGCAGCGGCAGCGGTACCCGGTTCGCAGTGGTGGTATTCGGCTGCGAATTCTGGTCAGATTGATGCCAATACAGCTGCACAATTGCAGCAGCAACAGCAACAACAGCAGCAACAACAACAGGCACAGCAACAGCAGCAGCAGCAGCAACAACAGGCACAGCAACAGCAGCAACAACAACAGCAAGCGGCTCAACAACAGCAACAGCAGGCACAGCAACAGCAACAACAGCAAGCGGCTCAACAGCAGCAGCAACAACAACAGCTACAACAGCAACAACAGAATGCCGCAGCGGTAAGTGAATGAAAGAAAGCTTTTATTTATATTTATACAAATATCTATAATTATACATAATTTTTGCATACATATGTACATTCCTTACTTGATTGATGATATACTATAATTTTTATGCCTTACGAGTATTTATTAATCATTTACATAAATATATTAGTATATGCATATCATACACACATACATACTATAATATTCACACCATCATATTATATAAATACCAGCAAGGTCATTGCCATCGGAAGAAGTTTATTGTACATACATACATATTTATGTCGTTAATTTCACCTTTTAAAACTCTAGATGCCTAATTAAAATAAAAACATTTCAATTTACATAAATATGCATACATACCCTTTCAAGTAGTTACCAAAAAAGAGACGCTGAACGACCTACTTTGCATATTTTGACATTTTTTGTTATTGCCATTTTTTCACTCCTTATCATCTATTTATGTATGTATACGTTTCGCGCGAATTTTTGGAAGTAAATATATTTCTTGTTGTTTTGGATGTTGTCACCCATCACCTCCTCTGCAAACAAGTAAAAAAAAATATATATATATATATAAGCAAAATTTTTTGTGCTAACAAACATACATATAAAAAAAGTATTATCTACAGTAAAAAAAAACAGCTGGTGGCATATGACATAACCGCATCTATGCGTAAAAAAATATTTATTTAGCTGCAACAGATGCAATTAGTATAGACATATATGTACATTATGTATGTATGTTTATTTTAGCATAAAAAAGCTCTACTCTGTACCGTAATACATATGTATATAAATCGTTTATTTTTTTTCAAGGTCTCATTACAAATGTTTTACTTTTACATATTTACATATTTCCTGCTTCTTTTTACTTTTAAATTCCTTACCCAGTTTTTTTTTTTTTTAGTTTTATATAAAAGGATATTCACTCACAACCAGCGTATCGTTTTTAGTGTGTGTTCTGCCAGTTGGTATGAGTTTTGTTTTTGTCGGCTGTTGCCACCTTACTCTTTACCTTATGAGTTATGAGGTGAAGAAAAAAACCTTACAGGCAGACAATGTTATTGTTTCTTGTGTTACGTAGATATGTATGTATGTATGTTCTAGATGTCTTTATGCCAGACATTTCGTAGACATTGACAACAATAAAGGTATGCGTATAAAAGAGCAGAAAGAAAATAATTTTAGTAAAATCAACAGAAATGAAAACATACTTTTGCATGTACATACATACATAGTATTTACATTTGATTGTAAGTATGTACATGAAACAATTTCGCAAAGCTTTCGATATAAATAAACAATAAAGAACCCTTGACCGAAATTTTTTCTTCTTCCGATTTACAAACAGCGTATATGTATTCGTATGCAGTTATGTAAATACATACATATATAATACATGTATAAGCATTCTAGATACGGAATGTACTGGCAAAGAATTTTTCTGTTTTCTGCAGTGTTGTTCATTATTTCGTTTTTTCCTTCTTTGTTTATTAATATTTATCGTTTTTTCCCCATGAAAGATTAGATTAATTACCCATACTTCAAATTAATTCCCCAACTGAGTTTTATTTTATTCGTGTTTAATTATTTTCAATTTAATATTTTTTTCAATTCAAATTTAATTCATTACATATTTTTAATTATATTTAAAAATATTTTTTTTTTATTTATTAATAATTTTTTTTATTTATTAAAATTTTTTTATTTCTTTCACTTATTTTTATTATTATTATTATTATTATTATTATTATTATTATTATAGTTATTATTATTATTATTATTATTTTTTAATTTTATTTAATGTTTATTCATTTTTTTAGTAATTGAATTTTATTACATTTTCTTTTTAACTTTTCATATTTTTTCTGTATTTATTAATTAGTATTTTTTATTTATAAATTACTATTATGTGAGATTGTTTTTGTTTTTCTATTAATTATTTATTCACCTTTTATTTATTGATTCTTTTCATTATTTTTTATATTTATCATTTACTATTATTTTATTTATTATTAATTCATTTTTATGTTATTTGAAAAATGGATGATTGCGTCTATTTTGATCCTTGAATTCGGTAATTATAGATATTTACAAAAACAGAAAAAATTTTTTTTCGAAAAAAAAGTTTCATTAAAAAAATTGATTTTTTTAATATTGCATGTTTCTATTTACATGATACCGTGTTTTCTGTAATAAATTTCAATATACATACATGTGTTTGTGTATAAAATTTTCAGTTACACTCGATTTATTTTCCCATTGGTTGAGTTTTCTTACATCATTACTAATTTCGTATTTATTTTCTCATTTATTGCCAATTTTGCAAATGACTCAAAATCACGGTACATTCTTATCAAGCTTATCGGTTTTTATCACCAGCAAGGTATCTACTATTTTTAACTTTTCGTTTTAGTTATTATTGTTATTAATATTCAGTAATTTCTACAATTTATTGAATATTTTATTGTTGTATTAACGAACTTTTCCTAATCAATTTATTTAAATATTTTATGTGCATTTATAATTTGTCAAAAACCATGTGCTACATATTTTTTTGTTGTGACTAATCCCCTCACAAATAATTGCAGAAACACATATACTCGTATGTATGTACATACATACTTTTTTTTTTTTGATAAAAAAATAGATAACGAAATTTACGATATGATTTATGACGGTGATATGAAGCCACACAGTGGTTATTTATTAACGTACAAATGTATTTGTGTAGATTAAGTTCGACATTCTCTATTCACAGTTCTTGAGTCATTACCAATCTCTGATCATTTAATTTGATTTTTTTTTTACAATTTCCAGTATGACAACTATTATTTTTCACTTCGAAAAGTTTTTCTACAATATTTTGTCTATTTTATAATAAATATTTATTAAATATTGGTAAATTTTTCATGCTTCAGCATTAAATTCTTTAATATGTTAGTTTTATTAATTTTCACTTTAACAACAACGTCGTTTCTTAATTTTATTTTTTTTTTAATAGAAAAAATATGAAAATTTCATTGTTGACATACGGCTCAATTGGAATTTCCATATTGATGTACATTACATACATACAATCGTACATATTTACACTTTTATTCATTATTTTAAACAAATATTTTCTTAAGCCAATTTCACATGCGTTTCTGTTATTCCTATAAGATTACGTGTATTATTATTATTATTATACGTATTTATATATACATAATATTTTAAGTGTGTGTGCATACATACGTGTACATACATATATATTTAATGGCAGCGTCCCAGTTTCGCTGTGCTAATTAAATACCAGATTTACTGGCTGCCTTTTCTTTCTACCTTTAACCGACCCAAAGTTGTGAGTTGTCATGCACGTGTAAATTTGTATGCACATACATATGTATGTATGTACTTGTGTTTGTTTGCTCATTAGGTAGGTTCATTTTAAACGAATAAAGGTTATTACTTAACTCGTATGTACAAACAAATGCATTCAGTGATTATGTTTTTAAACAGAAAATTAAATTAATTTATTGAAAAAAATTAATGAATTAATTACTGATTTATATTTTTATTATTCTTTTTAAATTACACAATTTTTTTTTAATTGTAGCTAACAGTTTTTTGCATTTATTTATTTTTAAATATTTTAATTTTGTTAATATACATTTTTTTTAAAACCTTTTATTTTATTTTTATTATTTTTTATTTTACATTTAATATTTTTACTTATTTTTTATTTGAGTATTTTTTTTTAATTTTTTATATTTTTTCATTTTATATATAATATTTTTATTTAAACTTTTTTTAATTTTTTTTTAATTTAAAAAAAAAAATTTTTTTTTAATTTTTTATATTTTTTTTTAATTTTTTATATATATTTTTAGTATTTATTTATTTTATTTTTTTTAGTATTTATTTTTTGAATATATTTTATTTAATATTTATTATTTTTTTAACATTTATTATTTTTCTTATAATAGTTATTTTTAAATATTGTTTATTTTTTATAATTTCTGATTTTTTTCAAATATATTTTTATAGTTTTTAATATTTATTTATATTTTTAATATTTTTTTTTCATAATTCTTTTTTTTTTAATAGATTTTAACATTTTACTAAATTATTTTCATTTTTTTTAATGTATATATTTTTTATTTTGTATTGTTTTTAATATAGTTTATCTATATCTTTGTTTATGTTTATTTTTAATATTTTTTCTAATATTTTAAATTTGTTTTTATTTTTATTAATTTTTTATAATTTTTAAACTTTTTTATATTATTTTTTTTTTTGTTATTGTCAACAAACCACAGCTTTACGTATATACGCATTCGAATTTTTCAATAAACTGTCATAACACCCTTATGTTCTTAAATACACAGCTACATACATATGCACATACATACATATTTACAAATATGTAGTGTGTATCGCAGAATTATACTGGTTTGATTGGGACATTTGCAAAACGGGCATTAACCGCAAATATACTGGCACATACATTTATACATGCATATATATATATATATATATATATATATATATATATATATATATATATATATTTATGGATTTTAGACTAATATTTATAAACGACATTAACGGTAATGAAAAGCAGGACAAGTATGGTAGAAGTCAATAAAAAGGGCAAATATGAAATGATTTTAAGCTCTACTTTACTAGCATTATTCGATTATTGCTAAAGTGAAAGTTGTCAATGAATCATAAATTTGTGGAGAATTCATAACAAAAAAAAAAAGAATTCGAAATACATACGTTGAATTGTGAGAATTTTTAAGTCGAGCTTTTAGCGCAAATACAGTGCCAAGTACTAGAAAATGAGCAAGTTATTAATGCGATTATATAGTCGCCCGCCATATACATATACTTGTACACATGCACACATGCATTAGAAACCCCGTAGAGCAAAATGTTAGTTAACTACCACTGCTTTCCATTTTTAACCTAACTAATTTATCTACCATCATTTTACCATATTAGCAAATGGTGTTTTTATTATG